CCCCTGTTGTAGCCGTGTGACGGAGCGGTCCGTGGAGAAACTCAGATGAGACTCAGAGCAGGGAAGAGGGGAGTTAACCGCTTTTTGTTTCCCACTGCAGTGGAAATCGTCACAAAAAGTCCTAATGGGGGCAGCATCTGAATGCAGAAATGAACCAAGTGAGCCATCTGTGTACGCCATCCGTGGGAAAGAATGCACTTTCAAGAACCCGTTTTTTAATTATTTATTTTGCTGTCAAGAATAATTATGCAGGGTGAATTAGGCTGGAGCTGAGAACCAGCTGGCGCTGAAACCACTCCGAGCGGCTTGTGCCACAGCCCGAGAGCCAGACGGGGGGGCCCGCCTGGCTGGCACTAGCCTGCCGCTGTGCCTCTCCTCGGGACAGGGGGCGTCTCTAACCGAGAGGAGCCCGGGGGGGTGGTAGGGCCAGGGCAGTCCGCAAAGGCAGCTGAACGTCACAACGCCAACCTGCGAGCCAGCTCCGGCGTCCAGACAAAGGCAAAGGGCAGAAATAAACAGAACCAAACCGATTTACATCCGGCGCGAAAACGAATTCAGCAGAACCTTTGTTTTGTTTTCCACGGTAGAACGACAGGGGTGTCAGGGAAGAACCACAGGCCTTGTAGGATCGGGACCAGCACAGGACTTGTGGGGGAAGTTTCTACTTCAGACCAGACTTCAGCTGGATAAGAGCGAGGTGGAACCTTCATCGCCAGTTCAGACACGTCTGTTTAAATTCTTTTCTGTTTTCAGCCTCCATCGTGAGCCGCGAGGGGCATAATTCAGACATTTCAACAACTATGTGATCTCTGCTAGAACTGCCTTTAACCGCAGCTCATTTGCTTTGAGAAGGCTTGACTTCTGCATATTTACACTGCTCTCTGTGCCAGCGTTCCCGAAGAGGCCAAATCACTCTGCGTGTACATTTCAGCTCGCAAACACCAGCTAAAGGTCAGTGAAGATTGAGCATCTGATACCCAAGAGAGGTAAATGGAAAAAATCTTGCCAGGAAGGCTCAGGATACCCTGCCGATTCAAAGGAAATGAAACAGCTTTCCAAACAGGGGCTGTTCGAGTTTTGGTTTTTGCCGCCTGTGTTGTTGTATGTAGTTACTCTGTCAGCATTTAGCAGGGTGGCCACACAAAGGCTGTCCTGTCTGTGAGCCGTCCCGCCAGCCGCCTTTTCTGCTGAATCATGTCTTATCCTGTCCTTTACGGCAGGCCGGGGGGCCAAGGCTACCTCTGGCTCCGCCGAGTCATGCTAGCTTCTGCGTCAGCACTGCCCCTGAGCCCTTCAGCAAAACCGCTGACGAATGCCTTTCGCATTCAATGAATTAATTAACTTTTTATAACTCTTTCTATATTTATCTCAGGTAATCCTTCGGCATTCGTTTTTTTTCCCCCACAGTACAGTGTTGCCTGCCTGTCTGGAAAGCATTCACCAGCTCCTTGTCTTTCAGTGTCCTGGGAGAGAAGAAGGAACCGGCGCCCCCTACCTGTTGAGGTAAACGCGCTTCTCCGTGAACTGGCCCTTTCCGTGCGCGGGGTCTTCGTACGGCTCGTTCTGCACCACCTCCACGCCCTCTCCCCGGTCGCTCTGCTCATGGCTGTGCTTGCTGATCATGTACAGCTGTCCGATTCTGTACTGGAAACAGAAACGCGAGTGTAGAAGTTAGATTCTGCTCTCTTGTCCCGATAAAAACATTCCATGAGCTGGGACACTTTTATCCGAAAAAAACCTACATTTGCCCCCATTGATGCAGCTGGGTGTTTTCCTGGCACTGTTCAGGTGAAGCACCTTTCTCACAGGTGTCACAGCAGTGTCTCACCTGGGATTTGAACCTGCAACCTTCCCATTAGGAGTCCAGACTAACATCTGCTCCACAACCAGACAACACCCAAAAGGAGGACCATTCCAATTACCTTAGAGCAGCAGAATGCTGCTATCACCCTGCAAAACAATACTGCTACAATAATACTACTACTGATCAAGTTAATAGTGGAGACAGCCTTCGCAAGGCTAACACATGACATGGAAAACCTCTCCAGAAGGGCTGTGCCACTGTGCCAGAACTCCAGCCACAGCCACCGTGAAGGCAATGCAGCACTTTGCATGTTTACTATAGCTCGATTCTTTGCAAGAAGCAAATACTGTATGTCTGAATCAAAGTCTTCTGCCTAGTTAAACACCGCCTGAAGTATTAACAGTAGATCCCTTTAGTTTTCCCATGATGTCAACATTTTCTCATTTTCTTCACAAAGAGAAAATCTCAGCTTTGCATCATCTCCCCGGTGAAGGATTTGGGAAGGAACAGGGATTATTAACATTATTAATAAAGAAACATTATTATAAACACGCTATGAGATGAAGAGTTCGAGACGCCTGGGGGTGACAGGAGGAAAAGGCGTGAAGCTCTGACCAGCTTCCTGGCTCCGCCATGTGAAACGTGCTGTAATCCGCTTACAGAGCTGAAGCCACATCTTTTCTTCGCTCCTGCTCTGTTAGAAACATGAACTGAACTGAGCAGCCCAGGAGCCATTAGATGACAACGACAACCCCACCCCGCTCCTCCTCTCACAACACGTGACCTCTGATCTAAGAAGACGAGGGCTCCCTTCAAAGTGTCCTCTTTCTAACTTAAGTTCAACTTTCACCAAATCCTCCACAAGTATCAGCAAATTGTCCAACTAAGCCCTTGTAAGGCCCACTTTTCCTGAGAGACGAAACAGGGCATGCATTTTCAATAACACAGCTTGGGAACTCCCCAGCTCCAGTCACTGGGACGACACAGATCTGTAATAAATCACTGACAACTAAAGACTTTCATTTTACTGTACCCTGAGACGTCTTGCGAAGAACACTCTGAGGACTTCTTATAAGCTAATTGGTGTTTTTTGTGTTCTTTCTAAACTACAGGCAAATGCCAGGTAAAAAAGAAGAAGCAGAAACAAACAATTAAAAATATGAAGGTTAAATTTGCACGCCAGCACAGCCAGTCTGATGCGGACTGTGTGCAGAGACACACTGAGTCTCTCAGCGCTCAGACCCAGGTAGGATGGGATATGGCATCAGGATTTCAGCTTCAGAGAATTCCTCACTCTTTTCTCCCCCTCCTTCCGATTCGTTTTAACGTGTAACCAGGTGGACACCCACTCCCACCTACTTGGCCTGTCTCACAGCTAAGTGGAAGGGAAGCTTTCCTTCCATCTTTCTACGTTTTTCAAATCACACAGATCCATCCTTTCAAACAGGAAGAACAGAGACCATTGTCAACGGGCAAAATGAATCTAGGTAAAGCAGTCTAACCTTGAACTGAACCTTGTCTTTCAGTAAGGCTAGAGACAGAACACACCTGGCCATACTGTAATTTAACAAATTACATTGAACATTCTTACAGTATATTAATTAGCTGGGCAGCCTTTGCAAGTTCAATTCTGTTACTCTGTACATGTTTGGCTCACATTTTATGGCACAGTGGTGGACAAGAGAGCACAGGTCACCAGCCTCAATCCACCAGATTGCGGCATCACTCTCTTAATCTGATTGGGCTCATCGGCTCTCCATGTCAAGTCCTACGGAGCATTTTGGTGACTTTTTAATCAAAACAGGTTGTAATTGAAGGCGCCCCACTGACATCACCACTATTCCCCATTTCACTGATTTCTAATCTAAGTACTTACAAGGAACAAGACAAAGTGTGCACCTTCTGCTACAAACATTGATATTTTTATTGCATCTTTATTATATCAGCAGTCTGTTCAGCATCATTTCTATAACGATGTAACAGATCATAAAGCTCACTCTGTCTGCTCATGTCATCTTATTAATAAACTCATTTATTTTCTGAAATTCCACTTTTCACTGGGGACTATAGCACGCAGAAACATGTGACAGGAGGCAGATTAAGACATTTCTCCAAGTAACACGCTTAATAAGGGCTAAATCATTCACATTCTATTTTCCCGTTCCCCTCTCTCCTCAGCCAGGACGCGAGGGGTGGCATGGTAGAGAGAAGGCAGAGGAGCTGAGGATCGGTGGACCAGCCCTGATTCTACTGCTCCAGCACTGACGGAGCCATCACCAGAATAACACATTCATCTTATTTTCAGAAGGAGCACACTTCCTCCTGCCTGCCTGATCCCCCAGTTTAATTACTCCACTCCTAAAACGCATTGCGTGAAAAAAAGGGCTTTGGTGTTCTGTTTGGGCATCACTGGACTGCAACTGACCCAGTGTGTGCGAAAGGCTCTTTTCTAATGAAAAACAAATCAGGTTCATGCCCCCGTCCTTCAAAATGTGGAAAAGAAAAGGTTCACAGCTTTATTTTTCGGTTAGAACAAAACGCGACAGAGCAGTCCCTGTCACGCTAGTCTCAACCTGTAGCCACCCCCACCCCCCGGGCGAACCATTTTAGGTCGTTAATTGTTTAATTGACAATTAGCAGGATCAATGCAGCAATCTGGGCGCTGGCTGTGCTGCAGAAGAGTGACCAGTCACACACCAGAAAGGGGACAGGCAAGAGGAGCCACTCAGCCCTTCCAGCCTCACTGCCTGACTGGTCCCAGGACCTCCTGCAGCTCGTTAACCTCACCTGCAAATGCACACAGCGCTCAACTGCGCTTGATTTTCCTGCCACTGAGCGATTGAGCTATCCCTTTTCAAAAGAGTGCAGCACACAGGCAGCCAGACCCTTCTTTAATATGGCTGAACAGGGCTGTACAGGAGGAGAAACACATGGCCTTCCTATTTCCTTATATTCTCCATTTTCATTTGCATTCAATATCCATTTTCATTCCAATATTCATTTGCAGCCCATTCTCTACAGCAGGGGTCTCAATCTCAGGTGCTGCAGAGCACAATACTAACTTCTGGCCTCTGTCCCAGACAGTTATTGAATTATTTAATTAGCTGTTAACTGTACCTTTAACAAAGTGTATGTTTTAGGTTATCAGCTGTGAAAGACCTGAAGGACATTTCAATACACTGTAAGACCAACATGAAGAAGGTAAATTATTTAACTGACTAATCAGATGGAACAGAAACAAGAGGACATGAGGTCTCGGAGGAACTGAGGGGAGGAGGCCTGATGCACAGTATGAGCCATGTGGAAATATCCTAATCATACCCAATCACAGTTAGCAAAGGAATTCCACTTCAGCATAGTTCTGGGCAAAACAAGCTTAAATACAAAAACAATAAGCACGAAACAGTTTGCCATGCCGTGGCCTGTCATGCTAACAGCAGAGTTAAGGACACTGTGAGATAATGGGGAGACTGCATTTTAAAGCACAGGGAGACGTGATAAAGCAAGAAGCCAACTGCACAGCCACTGCTTGGCAGCAGCATCGTCAAAGCATGGAACACCTTCACAAGAAGGCAGATGATAGGAAAGGCCACTCGAGGTCGAACGATTCCAGCCCTGCTGCAGTGTGAGTGACAGCTGCCTGCGGAGGAGTTGAAAAGGCCCATTACATTACTGCACACACGCACAGCGACGGCTTCCTGTACTGTCTGCACGTCTGCCAGCTGCCAGGGCCCACCTCCTGTCTACTCTTTCAAAATGAGAGGAGACTCTCCAGCGCAGACGTTCCTTAGAAAGATGATCACGGTTTCCCCAGTGCTGGCAGATCTCTGTACGAAATGTGCAAAGGGTGACTCCCAGGTCTGATACATTTTTGAAAAGCAGTCGCCTGGTTTCCTGCCCATCCTGCCCTTTCCATCCTGCACTCTTCAAAGGGAATCTGTGTCTGGGCTGCTTGTGTGCTTTTTGTTACTGTGGTGCTTTCAGAGGTGACACTGTCAAAACATCAATTCAGCCTTTCCTACTGATGAGACTGAACTCTGTACAACCTGTGAGGCAGTGGACACAGCGTTTAATGTCCCTGTGGTTTTAAAATGATATTGTCTGCTTTCAACCTCAGATGGCCATTAGCAAAATAAACTTACGACCCAGAAATTGATGCATTCCCAGTAAAATGATGGACAAAGTCCTGTTTAGAGCCTTATTTGCTTCACTATGAATGTATCATGTGTACTGTATATGTTTAGAAATGAAGTGTGTGGCACCTCCATCATATGCCAACAGGTGGCAGTGTAACAGCAACTTGAACCTGGAGTTCAAATCTAAGCGAATCAAGACAAATCAAGAGTGATTTCTCATGAACTTTGACCTGGCTTAGCACTATCACTTGACAACATCTGACACCCCCTCAAAGTCACACTCTTCAGCTGCTACTCCACTGCCCATCTTACATAACATTAAACTCTTGTGATTGGGCAGAATACAGCCAGATAAGAGAGCCATTCAACAATCCGAATATCACCTGTAAAAAAAACCTTTTACAGGAAACTGCAGAGGGACAAATAATAACCAATTTTACCAGTATTTGCAATTTTTACACTGGAATAACACTGGACTTACGGTATCAGTTCTGTGTGAGATAGCTCATAAGCACAGATACAGATTGCTAGATAGCACCTGAGCTGTTCCAATGGAGAACAGACAATAAGACAAGGCAGGTATCAATCAACACGCAGCACGGTTCTCAGGAACTAGACCCAGCTTGTTATATTTGGCACAACGTGAGTTACTGCCTAATTCTAAAGCCTTGACACTGTGACTGCTGTAACTTAAAAGAGAAAGC